GAACAAAAAATAAGTAAAATTGGAATATTATACAGCCATAAATCTTTAAGGATACTACACACAGAATGGGATATGTCTCAGCGCCAATATGACGATATAGTTGTATTACTACCTATAACGCATTGCCAGGATTGCATAGTGTGTGCAGGAGCCTTACACAAAAAAAATCATGATTTTTTTATTTTTATTTTATTTTATTTTCTTAATTTATAATAGGCATCCATCCATAAGAGAAGATTATTTAACTCTTATACAAGGTTTTTATATATTAATAACAAAAATTACTGTTTCTGCATGCTTGAGGTGTTATACAACATTCCAAGTTTACACATTTTAGGTTTATACTGCCCAATTTTGCAAATTTTGAGTTTTTTACTGCATGATTTTTGGATTTTCACTGTATGAAAATCAGGTATCTAATTATAATACACAATAGTTTTGAGGTCTTTATTATGCCACATATGAATAGAATATTCAAGGAATATTTACCGTAATTAATCAAACTTTATATTTCTAAAGAAGCATAACACATATTCGGTTGTATTACATGAAATGTCAGTTTTTGAGTTGACCATAATAAGTTATAAAAGAATACAATCACAATTCATCAATTAATAAAATATAATGTTTAATAATATTAAATTATTAAAAGTTTTAGATTGACCATCGGCCAATTAGTAACTCCCTATCAGAACTTTGTCTATTTTTTAAATAGTTAAGTTTACAAATAGCTATACAATTCAGAATGCCTAAAAATAATTTGTTGCATATCAGACTCACAGGTTTTGTGAAGTGGAAATAAAACTATTCGTTAATAACAAGATTTATACAGAATCTGAATTTTAATTAATTATATATATATATTAAAATCATTCATATTTTAATATGATAAATTGAAATTTCATAATGCACAAACAAAAAAAAATCACAGTGGCACGTGGTAAAACATTATAGAAAATGGTACAATCCAATCAAGAATGAAGTAATTAAAAAGCATGAATAATAAAAATAACAACTTATAATGATTAAGAGCAGTAACAGTTTCTTGACATTTTTTAAAAATTATTGTTATGAATAATAATAGATTAATATATCATTTATAACACTCGCATTATTAATATTTTCATGAAAAATGTCACCTATATCAAAACGCTAGAGGCAGTGGTTTTATAAAATCTATACTTCCTACACTGATATGTATGTTAATGAATTTAGAATAAAAAAAATAAATTACCTAAGTTATATTTAATATTTTCTTTTAATGTTTAAGATATATTTTTTAAAAAGATAATTATATAGTCAATCTCTCCTAGCTACTAACCAGTTTTTTAAAATATCTATATCTATCTATAATAGAGTTAATATGATTTAAGTAAAAAAATTAATGATTTGTGGTTCGTGCTATAGACCATGTAATTTTAGGCTGTGCGATTTAACCTTCTTACAGACATTTATTGCTTGTAGGAACACAGATGGAGTGATGGGAGTTGCCTAACCTCATGATGCTCCGAATCATGGCAGGCTACCCACAGCTCCATAACCCATACCTTTTTGGACCATTGGGCTCACTGTGTCATTTCAATGAATATTTAAGCACTTGGGTTCAAGGGAAGTGATTAATTGATCTAAACGCACAGATTGCGGCTGTTCAGGATCAGTAGGTAAACGAGGACTTATATATGTTTCTATCTCCGAATCAGGCTGTTTATGGACCAAACGTCTTGGTGGTTATTTTTTATCTTGGAAAACCACAACACCACTACCTAAGGTACGCGGGGAAATTATGGGCCGTCATTCCTATGCCTAGTAGGTGTGAGCTATCTCCAGTAAACTCGTATGCCTGTCGGCTTCACATACCCAGGGCAGAAAAGAGGGGAGGGGCAGATCAATGACCTGCAGAAGAAGGGTTCACAGATGAAGACAAATTTAAGAAATGGTTTAAACTTAACAATAATTAAATATATAAAATTTATTTAAACAAATTTAATGATAATCGGGAAATATAAAATCAAATTAACCTCTAACCAGCTTATTTTTATATTATTAATATTTTTAAATATTCATAACATAATTACTATAAAAATATTGCTAGACACAGAATCTTTGAAGTCAAGCTACTAAGGAGCCAATATAAATGATGATATAAAATGAATAGAGAGTTAAATTAAAATAAAAGAGAAACTATTTCAACTATCAAAACATGAACAATCAGTACATTTAAATGAACTAACACATAATTTCAAATCTATTAAATCAAATTTCCAAACAAAACGCATGAATATCTCTAAGTGAAATTTTCATTAGGAAACTTTGTGAATGTCATAAATTTTGTCTTTCTTATGGAACGTAATAAGAATAATTTTCGTGTTCATAATTTTACAAACCCTAACTGTATGTTACGGTTAGCGGTATTTCATAAAATTATAGTTAGATAAAAGAACAAAGATAATGGATAATCCTTTACCAATGGTCTATTAATGGGCATCAACTACATGCTGACTGCCAGATTTTCCCCAATCAAACAACAGCTGTTGGAACAGAAAATAAGCTATTATCAATAGCTGAGATTTGGTGCTAACCTATGCCATATTATATTACTTAATACATTAATAAACTTGATTTTCTTTTTTAAATTAAAAATATTCATGAGATGAAATCATAGAAAAAGGAGAAAGAGGGATTTTCTGCACTGTCTTTGAAGTTTATTTATTTATTGAAGAGGTATATATGTAAGTAAAATTAATATTGGAGATGACACAAGAAGAAAGTTAATTTTTTTAGGTTAGAACAGATAAGAATCGCTAAATGAAAATATCGCCCAATGTCAAATTTGGCTTTAAAGAACATTGAATTTCTGTGCAATAATTGTTTCCTTAAGGCTTAAAACAGATAGAAATTTAGAATAAAATAAAATTTAGTTTAGTGGAAAATGCATTTAATTGTTATCATCATATATATTCAATACCTAAACTACAAATTGAACAAAGTTTTGCTTGTTTATTTAGATCATTAAGAGTACAGGAGGAAAAATAATAAAAAATGATAAAAATAAAACTTTAAGTTTTTAAAAAAGGGATACGCAATATGTATATATCATATACATGTAGTAATAGAGTTCATAAAACTTGCTTTAATAGAATAATAAATAAATGCCAATTTGAGGGAAAATATTAGGACAAGTTTGATTAGCAAACCAGATCTATGTTTCCTTAAAGTAAAAAATGGTCATTAATTTAAAATGAATTTAATTAATTGTTTACAAAAAAACCCGTAATACTTATATAGATTCAAAAAAGTTATAAGTAACCTTTTTCCTCCTTCAATTTTATGATAAAGTAAATTTAAAACAACACAAGATAATACTTAATTCATGGAACAAGCAACTAATTGAAACTAATCAGCATCATTTTTAAGTAATCAATTTATTTCTAAGCTTTTTATTTTAATATAAAATTGAACTTTTATTAACTATCTGGGCATGAAATCGTTTATCTAATTAGGTTCTGTGCTTATATGCTCTAATTAAAATTATATGCTCTTATATGAAATATAATTTCCAGATTTTTCATCAACATCTTGATCCCAAGAGACAGATGACATAAACATCTTGGCTAACTTCATATAACCATGATCTCTTCCGTTAGGGCAAAATATCATGAGTGTCATTGTATAATAATAGGGAAGGAGTGGAAAAAACACATCACAACAATTAATGATCAGTCCTAGGTACAGTACTGATGATAGTGGAATGATAATTCATGACAATCCTTGCTAATGGCCTATCAACAACATGCTGATTGCCAGATTTTCCCCAACCTAAAGAATTTTCAGATCCTCAAAGATTTACAGGAGGTAATCAACAGAAGTTAAAACAGAAAATAAGATATTATCAAAAGCAGAGATTCGCTGCTAACCCATGCCATACAGTTTCCAAGTGTAAAACCCAAAATGCCAGCATTTTGTTCATAAATTCATAAATAAATAAATAAATAAACCTAACAGATGAAAATGACTTAGTTTTTATTAATGCTTAATTAATTATAAAAAAAACAATGAAAATTAATAATTTATATAAATAAGAATAAAAAGCAGAAAGAGACATCGTGGCTAATATGAGAAAAATAACAGGAAAGGGTAAAACATTTCACTGGCCATTAATTTCAGTAAATATTCATTTTAAATTGTAATTTAAGATTATTATTATTTTTTTTTCATTATATCTTCTACATGTGAACAACTAGTATACAACATTACAATCAATGCAATGTTTTGATAACAGAGCTTTTAAGAATCTAACATCAGGAACTTAATCCAAATTATATATATATATATAATTTATAAATTTAAACAATGTTATAGTCAATGTTAGAAACACTGCAGAGAAGTTACAATGTCTTGTAATTAAATACATAAACAAGTGAGCAAACATCTTAACTTTACATTATAAAAAGACATCATGTAATATTGTAATAGTTCGAATAATATTTTATATAATAAAAATAATACTCAGATTAAGAAAAAGAAATAACAAAAAAGAATCGGCATATTCCAATAATAAAACAACCAATGTATAAGTGGTTTAAACCATATCTTTAATTGCTCTAGAACATTTTCTAAACAAAAATTATAATAGAATCATAAAAAATAAAAGAATAATATAAAAAAAGCTTTCGCAAATATATTATATTTTAATCAAATTGATTATATCAAATAATAAAACCCAACTCATGACAAATATTCTTTAAGAATTCACATAATTAGAATAATGAAGTTGAACTCAGAAACCAAAAGGAAAACAAATGTTTGTCTTTTGCTTTCCAAATGGCAGAAATTTGTTTTCTTAATTGCAATATTATGAATAAACTGATATTATTTTGATTATTTTAAAATAAAAACACTAAGTTTCTCGAAATTATATTAATTTCATCAGACATCTTAGTAGAAAAAAAAAAGAAGAAGGTATATAGCTCTTTTTATTCAAATAAATCTTCCATAAATAGGTTCAATAGATATGCATTAAGAAAAAAACAACAACAATAAAATGAGACACTAATACCTATCTACAAATATGCTACATAATACTAAGTACAAATATCACCGTAAATAAAGTATACATGGATGATAATTCTTTTAAATATAAATATAGTAAATAGATACATCATGAACTAATACCGTCAGTCCATCTGATATATAAAAATATCTATCCAGTAATTAAAGTAACAAATCTCAACAATGAATTGAAATTACTTAGTTTAAGTACAGTTTAAAAAAAAAAAATAATAAAAAAGAAATAAAAGATAAAATAAACGACTTAAGAAAGAATAATTTTATAATAGCATACCTTTATGGATGGTACATTAAACTTTATTCGCTCGGAAGCAATTTTTGAACCTTTTATACACTGTGTGAAAAGAAGAAATTGAAAAAAATTTCGTCTATTCTACACACTCTAACCAAATATTATTTACATTAAATCGACCATGCCTATATCCGGGAAGTTTATCATTCACCAGTTTCGGACCATTCTCTTTCCTCCTGTATCCTTTCAAAACAGTCGAACATGAAAGTAAACTGAAAAAACAAAAAATGTTTTAGAAAAAAGAGAACCGAAAACATTTTACCACACTAAAAAGAATAATGATACTTACGTAAGGTGTTAAAATTTTAACCCATCGAGTATTTTTTTCTCCTTTCTGATACTGAAAGTTGAAAGACATTCCTTCCTCATCAACTTCCCATTGTTTCATTGCAGTCCAAGGAAATTCAATTACTTGAGACTAAAAAAACAAGTGAATAGAGATTTTTTTTCTTTGGTGACCATTAAAAAGTATAAAATTATACAATGGTGTAATGGTTCTGTATCATTCAGCTAACAGAAAATTTTGGTAATTTGAATCTTCAAGGGTAAATATTTCATTGGGAATAAGTAAAGATATTTCACTGACTTGAATGTAAATTATAAATCAATAGCCACACTGTTTAAGACAATAAAATTTTATCAGAAAGTGAATTTTCGAATTATTCTGGTCAATCTATGCTGTGTGCATATTCAAACATTATTTGAAACCAAAAACATTATTTGAAACTTTACATCTTTGTCTTAAGCATGTAGTAAAAATTGAATGGAAAATCTGGTTAGTAAAATAAGAAATTGGCGATTTATTTCATTGTATGAAGTTTAAAAGCTACAAGCTTCTAGCAGTTTAGCTGTCAAAATACAATTAGCAAAGGATGGTGTAGGCATATGGTGACCGCATTACCCTGTTTTATTACTGCAACCAACTATTGGCCCTTCAGATGGAGAAAATCACATTTACACTGATACACACACATTAATTTTATTCTTAATGTGCATTGTCCCAGAATCATAAAGTAATTTTCAAGAGCATTTAAAGAGGATGCTAAGGAAAACTAATTAATCAGGATAGAAGATTAAGTGATACAACAGCAAGGAGCTCAAAGATCCAATAATTGTCATCCAATCAGAATTAGACAAGTGTATTCAGGAGAATAATGCAGTGGAAAACGATATATACCCCCATATATGCTACTTATTCAAAGGTTATATCTGATGCAGCAATTAAATTGCTTGGACCTTTAGGGAAAGACTCTAGATCCCAATGATTTAATGAGAAGTATGAGAGAAACACTGTTAAAGATGAAGCATATCAAGTCATCATGTGAGAGATGAAGAGAAATGTTGAAATATATAGACAGAGAAGACAAAGGGAAAAACATCTCAACCAGTATAACAAAATGTAATGAGAGAAAAAAAAAATAGCGAAAGAAAATAAGCAGCATAGAGAATTCTTCAGAGCAGTCAATGAGAAAAATCTTTTGAAACAAAATCCAATTATTTTCTGAATGAGGAGACGGAAGCTGCTTACAAATATAATGGATGTGTCTTCAGAATGGATGAGATACTGTTCCCAGATTATCTAACAAGATTGAAATGAACGAGATCAGAGGAATTCATCTCTGGCAAAGGACAGTGGCAAGAGGATGCAAAGGTCTGCACCCCGTTTGATTTAGTTGCCGAAAATTCCTCCGAAGATTAAGGAATTCAAGTGATTGGAACAATTTTCAGCAAAACGGTAAAACTTCTTGTGAATGTCGACAACATTGCTGGGACACTCCTTCCAAGCTCTCTCTGACATATTTTTTAAATTAGCTAAAACAACAAGAAAAATGGGGCTTAAAGTAAACGCTACAAAGACTAAATATATGGTTACAAGATCAGACCTGGCAAGGAAATCTTCAACGGAGACTATACACCAGGAGTTCTAAGATTTATCCAAGGAATCAGACGTGGTCCGGTACATGAAGATAAATAAATTGAGATGGGTTGGGAATGTTGCCCAAATGGCTGAGAATAATTTGACAAGAAAAATTATTACAGAGGTACTTCATAGAATAAGGTGCAGCGGAAGGCCTCAAGTTTCTATGGAATGACAGTGAGGATGATGAGACCAGGTCCGTTCCGGGTGCGAGAAACTAGAGGGCAGCAGATCGATATTGGAACAATTGGTGGGGGCTGGTCCAGGAATCCAAAACTTGACACTCAGTCGTAGTACCAAAATAATAATAATAATTTGCAAAGGAGAGGAAGTCATGCTTTATTTTTTTAACAATTGAGAAACATAATTGTCGGCAAGCACATGAGTATTTGAATTTTCTGTACAGGCTCTCTAGATTATAGGAAGCCTTCAGTAGTTCTTCACTGCTGAACAATGTACAAGACATAAGCCAGCAGAGATGCGAGATTCATGACTATAGAGGATCAGAACTTTTTTCAAACTGTATTATTTTTTCTAGAAAATGTGGAATTTTTATTTTGGATTTGTTAGATAAAAGATGGGACAATCAAACCAAGTTTCCTCCCACCCAGATAATATTTTTCTTTATCATGAGAGAATTTAAAGTATTAAGTCAAGAAATTTCAGCTATGTACTATCCACATCAGAAAGCAGGTATTACACTCACAAGGTTGCTGTGTGTTGTTCACAGTACTTAATATGTAAATAAATAAAATTTAAAATAAGCTAATATATTATACCTCTGGTGTTCCATCAATTTTGCAGGCATGTAATTTAAAAGAATGAAAACCAACTGAAGCTATAACATGACCTTCCTTTCTGCAATCACAGCCACAATGAGGGAAAACAATTTCACCATACCCTCCTAATTCTCTTGCTAAACTAAGGTACTGTAAAAAAAAAAAAAAAAAAATAAAATAAGAATCCTGAATGCAACAGTTATATTTTCAGTAAAAGATTGAAAAACCACCAACTTAACACTTTAATGACCATAGCGAGCGTATAAGCTCGCTCACTGATTGGCTCAAGGGACCACAACAGGCGTATATGCACACCTTTGAAATCCATAACCAAGCTTGTTTTTATTTTAATTTCCAAAAATAATCGAAATATGATTACATGCACGTAAGAAATAACTACCAATGGTAAAAGTAGGAAAAAAAAAAAAAAATTCAACAACTTTAATATCATTATGAACAACGTCGGGTGTCAAACATCTGCTCTATTTTTTTTTAAATTATCGTGATTAAATTATTTTTAATACTAAAAAAAAAAAAAAATGCATGACACTTTTTATATAACAACTTTTGAGAGAAAAAAAAAATTTGGTCCACGCAGAAAGTTTAGCTCGAATGGTTTAGTCGTCAGTGTTAAAGGTTAAGATCTCAGTTTGATTGTTTATTGTCTTAGGGTCTAAGGCCCTTTCTTACAGACAAAAGTATAATAGCAGTTACATTACAACATACAATATAATTCACAAATGAATTTTAATTTTAGTAAATTAAGTAGAATAAATGTTAGTATGTACTTCTTTTTAGAAGTAATAATAAGAAGAGAGAAAGTGAGAAAAAAAAGAAGAGATTGTACCAGAGGAATATTTCTCAACATTTACTTATGTGCATGTCAATAGGATTTCAGAAATAATTTTTAATTAAAAGAAACAAAACATTTTCTTGTTCAATATCATGAAATTTTCAACCGAATCCAAATGAACATGAATTTCCTTTAACCTTGATTTGTTTATTATTCAAATAAAGTAAGAGATTTACAAAAACCCATAAGCTATATGATATTTATTACTTCATTCTTCCTGGATGCATCTTGTAGAGCCTTGAGTTGATATAGCCTATCTGTAGTAATTACATGACCTCTGTCAACAGCATCTACTGCGAGCCAGAAAAACCAAAGCAGAGCAAGGTCATCTTTCACAGACATTTCAACTGAAGGTGAAAATAACCACCTTCTGATACAGAGACAAGTAGAACTTGCCGTACTATAATTTTGTATATACAAACTATGAGGATACTCGGTGGGCTGAAGTTTTCTTTCTAAAACAAAAATCAAAACTTATAATGCACTTATTTAAAAAATTACATATACAGTGAAACTTCCCATAGCAGACACTTTCCTATAGTAAATTTTTCTCTACAGCAGAAAATTTTATAATCCTCATCAGATTTCAGTGATTTTACAGTACAAATGATTTCTGTATAACAAACAATAGGGAGCCTGTGAGACTCATATTCTGAGAACATTGATTCTATTTATAGCGGCATAGTTAAACTGTATATAAATTTAAATAAAGATAGAAGTTTTAATCTTTTGTTAATAGTTCTACAGATTTTATTGTAGCATGTCAACTCGCTTCCAGTTAAATTTCAAAGAAAAATTTGATTGGGTTAAGTGAAAACTTAATTTTTGCTCAATTAAAAATTGCAAAAACTAAAATTTGGTATGTGGCATTTTAAAGAACAAAACGAATAGCATGAACCAATGGCCTAACTTTGTTAACGCAAAAGAATTATTTCCAAAAATATCAGGTTTTGTGAAGATCATTTAACCCTCCAGCATTCACGTAATCACTTCGAACAATTGCTCTCGCACATGTGAGGTCACAACATATTTTCGTGGTCTCCGAATCTTCCGAATTCCCAATTAAGATAAAAGAAACTCGATTTGTAAATTTAAAAATACAATTTTCTAAAAATTAATAAACAATTTCATTCTCACGATAAATAACTTATAAAAAAATATTTTAAATCATCTAATTTCATTTTTTTTTCTATCATATTTTACATACAATTTCTTTAAAATTAACATCCCTCCATAGTGGACAAGTTTTGATTCCCCGTAAGTGTCCACTACTGAGAAGTTCTACTGTACATAAAAATATTGTTAATTCATAAACCTATAACCTTAAAACACAATAAAGAAAGAGTAACAAATTGAGAGCATGTTGTTTTTCCTAAAGACTCTACTTATATTTATTTTACATGACCTAAACAGATTATTCTTTAAGTTGTAACAATTATAAATAACATGGAAAAAACAATACAATTTTCATTTTCAGAGTGGTATCATTGGACTTTAATAGCTAATAGCTCACAGCAACAATAACAATGACGATATAGTCAAACTATAATGTATAAAGTTGGGATCACAGAAATAGCATCACCTATTTCTTTTTTGATTCTTATGTTGATACCATTGAATGTTTTTATTTCCTCTTTGTTTACTTAGGTTACAAGAAAACTTTAACAATGTTTCTAAATTCAGTTTTAACTAATACCAGGATAAAAGCTTTAATTATGACCATTTTCAAAAAACTATCCTTGTCAGAAAATATTAAAATTGTGACTTTATATGAAGCGAAAGAATTTTCACAGGAAACAGTAATGAGGATAGAATAGCACCAATCAACGATAGTCAAAGTTTTGAAAAAATAAAATCAAAGTCACCATGTTGAAAAATAAAGGAAGAAATCTGGTGCAGTTGCGCACCACACAACTTTCACTTACCAACTTTAGAGTAGATAGGTATTTTCTTATAGGCAGTCAAAGTGAAAACAATAGTATCATTTCATTTAAAACAATTACTTATCATGTTTGTTCCATCCATCGAATCAGTTAAATTCATACATTTACATCATAACTGTGTATAGCATCAAACAATACTAATGATTAAGGAGGAAACGGATCTTTTGGAAAAATTCCCAGTTTTATCAGAAACATTTATCACGAAGCTCATCGAAAAAATCTGGTGCGCGCAACACACAACTTTCACTTACCGATCTACTTTGAATAGAAATTATTTTCTGGCAATGCTGGGATATTATAAACTTTTTTGAAGTGTATTTTAAACGGAGCTAAATCTTACAGATAACAAGTCATTAAGACCATTATAATTACAAAATGTCTATTTAATATATCGACGACAGGTAATAAAAATCTATTCACTCTATCTGCTTTTAAAAACCACAGAATGACTAATTACAATTTCAACATTTTTGAGTGATGTCATTTTAGTGATATTTTTAGTTGAAAAAGTTATCTATGCAGACAATGAGTAAGTTGATTCAAGAGGTGGTGATTGCAGTGTTGAAATATAGAACTGAGAATAAAAGTATAAACATAGGTACTACTTTCTTATGAAAGATGTTCTTAGGAAAGACACTTTATTAAATATCTGTAGAAAAAAGGTTTTTTAGTCTCAACTATATTTTAAATTTATCCAAATTTTCATCTCTTCAGGGAAAAAAACTAGAGACCATATCTTTCCTCCTAATTGTCGGATTTTAACGATTTTTTTTTTTGTTTTTTTTAGGAAATTCCATAAACTTTTTAAAAAACATTGATTTCGATGAAACTTCTCATTCATTTTTTAGGCAATTTAAATATCTTCGAAACATTTTATCACAATATTGACAAAAAGCGTATACTTTTTGAGTTATTCGGAATTTAATGTTAACATCCCTCGTAACTTTTTTTCCAGCTTCTTTTCATTGAAATCGGTACTTCGTTTAGGCAGGTTTTTCTGCATTTTTATTTTTTTTCTCTTTTATTAATTTATCAAAGTATTTCAAAAGTTATTTGTCGCATTTTTTTGTAACTCTGAATAATGCGAAATGGTTAACTTTTTAAAATAAACCATATTAAAGGTACTTTAGAGGTACTTTAAACATTTCGCGTGAACATCTTTTAAAAAAATTATGGATAAGTGATGCATAATTGTTAAACTAACAATATGGAAGTCCTGTACAGATGGGTATCTGTAATGGGAGAGGATCAGCAAAGGTGTAGCTGAACAGCCAAGCTTCCTAGATATAGCCCTGGATCCAGGGTCAGAAAATCAACCTCTTAGGTTGATTTGGCTAGATTTGTTTGTAAATTACGAAAGTGTATGTTATTCTTAGTAAAAAGAACCTTGTCTGCCGTTCCAGAGCTACTGCTTTAAAAAATGACGGCTGATTAAAAGAATATTAGGCCAGTAATTTAAGGATCTAAATGGGAAATCCATTGCGAAAAATGTGAGAAAAGCTTTTATTTTTTAACTTTTATATATGGAATTGGACATGTAAAAAACAAAATTGCAAATGCGGACCACCAAGGGAAAACTTTTAACAGCCAAAAAAGTCAATTTTTTTCACTTATAACTCCTAAACAATGGATCAAAGCGAATGTACTCTTTAATAAATTAAAGAACATTAAATTGTGCGTCGAACAAGTACATAAACTTCATAACTTGGTTATGTGGTAAGGTATAAAACCACTGCCAATTAATGCTGATTTTTACCAAATTTGTCTAAAACTGAGACAAATTACTACAAATGGTCCTGTAACTTAGAAATAGTTCCCTAACAGAAAAAAACCATAGGATCAAAGTTGTAGAACATAAAATTTTGTGTCCACTGAGTACTGACATTTTTATTGTCTTTTCTGTTTTCTGCAGAAATTTATTATTTGCTAAATAGAGATTTGTGCTATCGATATCATATTGCAGCAGGTAGGATGGAGTGAAAATAAATAATAAACATGGGCCACCACGCTTACATGTAACATAGGCCTTCGGCTACTACCATAAAATAAGTAGCAGTTTTAAATAAATTTATAAACTCATGGCATACAGCATGAAAATATAATTACCAAAATTGTATTCGACGATTTCAAACAGATAGAAATATTTTGAAGCTTCACTGGACATGTGGATTTTGTCTATAACAGCCTGATACACATCGTTGGCATTCGAATTTTTTCTTATAGTTACTGTAATAACTTCTCTGTCAGGTAATAAAACTTTTAGATCAACTGGAGAAATATTGCCCTAGAAATTTTAATTGAATATTAGGTATAATACATTAATGATCGCTAGGATTACACTTTTTTCAAGTTAATTATTTTCAGTATCGAAGTAAACTGAATTTTATGTATGTTAAAAAAAAAAAAAAAATTGCATAAAGTCAATATTTTAAAAACATCAAATCTAAAACTGTACACAAAATTATCTCACACTGTATATATTTATAATTTATATGAAGTGTACAGTTTTAGATCTGATGTTTTTAAAATATTGAATTTATGCAATGTTTTATATATACATGTGGAATCAAAGCTGTTTGAAAGAAGAACTTTATTCAATAGATATTTACAAAACATTATAATTTTCAAACATACAGTAAATATAAAATAAATAAATCAGATTTATTTTCTGAAATTAAAGATCTAGCAATATTTAGAACTTGGAACAAAATAATAAATAAATAATGAATGACACTTAAAAAGTAAATACATGAAAACCTTTTAATGAAATAAAAAACATTTTGCAGAAGTAAAGGTCTATTAAAAGTTTCCTCACATAAAAGGTTTCAAAATATGATAAGCACAATATACAACAAAAGGTATTAAAAATAAAATAAGAATTTTACTTGCTGATCTTCAGTGTCAGTAAGAAATTGATGCATTATGTCACTTTCTGCTATCACCCGAACAGCACAAACTTTCTCAAGATATAATTCCAATCCTCGTCTTCTTTGATCTACTTGCTGGCCACTTAACCTGGATCATAATAAAATGTTAAGTAAGTGATGAAAGTAAGAGAATTATGTAAATAAAGAGGAACTTCCCATGACAGAACAAAACTGGAAATATAAATTTTGTCTAATTAAAAAAATTGTCTGCTTCTGAGAGGAGTTTGAAGAAAAAAAGATTTAAAATATGAAAAAAAAAACTACACGTGTTTACATCTGTATTAAAAAAAAATTGAATTATTGAACAAAATAAAATCACACATATGCAAAATACGCCTAGCTCCTGAAACCAGTAGCTTTGAAATCATTATGCCCCAACAAACTGTAGGCACTCTGTCAAGTTTTTCTATAATGTAATAATGGGTTTGATATCAGAAAGTTATTAGTTTGAGCTTTGCAAATCTATTCAAAAATAATTTGGTCAATTGCGATACTTCCTGATTCAAAATTTTTTTTTTTAATGCATCAGCTACACAGATTTTACCGACTTTTCCTTAATATTTAACAGTTATTATCACCTGTAAAGCTTTGAACATAGATGGATCACACAAGTGCTATTAATATAAGGCAGAATATTGAGGGAAAAATTTACATTTTTCGACTGTAACAAAAATGTTTATTTAATGGACGGACTTTTAGGGGTGCGAAAAATAAATATATTTTTTTATCCCAAAAAAATATATTTCATGATATAATATGTACAATAAACGTTTTTTTTTCTTATTTTCTGGTTGGACAAAATATTAGAATTTGTGCATATAATCTTACATTTAATACCCGTCCAGTTTAGAAAAAAATATATATTTGGCATACAGCTATAGTATGAGTTCAATATTGAAACAAATAATACTAATCTAAGGAATGAAGTAGGCTTTAAATTTAAATGTTCTAAACAGTCGTTATTATTTGGTTTTTTTTGGTGTTATATATTCCCCTTTCCAACTCTCTAACTCGGCATCACGTCAAAATACAATTTAGATTTATAGCCCATTACAAAGAGGGTGAAATGCTGAAAATTTCTCTAGCTTACAGTATGCAGGCCCAATTTTTAGTTTCTGAGATATTTTAATAAAAATGCAAAAACACTTCAATTAGTCGACTCAAGCCAATTTTATCCGAACGAGCATTACATATCCGAGCTCAACGGCAGTCTAATGAGACTGAGCAGTCTCATTCACAAGAAAAATGCAAAGCGCGCCTAAAAAAGTTTTCACTTCAATAATTTTATTCTGGGACTGCAGTCCCCTAAGAATAATAACAGAGTTCGAAAATTAACTGTTAATTGCAATCGTAATGAAATAGTTTATTAAATTATAAAGTATGTAGAAACAAGTCAATTTTACATAGTTCTGGAAGTATGAATATTAAATGGGTGGTGGAATAGCAGTATTTTGAGACAGACAAAGATTTCCAAAAGGAGATAGCATGAATGATGAAGGATTTGCAGAAGGAAGTATTTATGGGAGGGAATATATATATTAGGAGGTTGATATCTAGTATTAGGAGAGTGGATAGAGGAACGTTGAATAAGGAGTTAGTCCTAGGAAAAGGAAAACACAAAGAAGAATTGTAACAATGTAATACATATAATTAAAATTAAAATACCTACATGACTTAATTTAAACCAAATTTTAGGCATCAATACATTTTTTAAAGGATAAAATTATTAAACCGATAATCCTTAGAAATGAAAAAAAATCAATTAAAGTATACTGAAATCAACTCATCTTGTTAACAACTATTTGGGGAAAAAAAACTCACGTAAAAGGCCATTTTCCAGGAAGTTTAGGAAAATTAAAACCAACAAATTCTTTTTTCAATGCACTATGAAGGTTAGAGAATTCCCGGTATCTTCTTGAACATAAATGTCTCCCTGCCATATAAATGTTAAAAACCTAAAAAAAAAAGAAGGGAGATATTAAAACTAACAACAGCAATAATTATATACCCAAACAAATATTAATAATAACATATCAGCAAAATAATAAAAACTGACAAATATAGATTCCATGACATAACTTACAGCAAATCTTTCACCATCTCTTTCCAAATAATGATAGTCTGGAATTGAAATAGGCAGAGAGCGTTTCTCACTGTAATCAATATAATTGTAGCTCGTCGTATCTTCGCTAGGTTCCAGCCTTTCAGCCTCCTATCACAGAATTATTGAAATTTTATTAATGTATACTCAACATCCCCTGATAAAAATTGAGCAAATAGTGACATAATTATAAATATAAAGAGATGATGGTTAGAAGTGCAATAAAAATAAAATATACAGAAAATATTTTATTGATTTAACTGGCTGGCAAACAGTCTTCTTCAGTACAAAGAGAGTAGAGTTAGACGGTATTGAAAAATTATTGATTAATTAATTATAACAATCACTAAATGTTAGTTTCTAAACTTTTTACACTATTTTTCTTGTTCAAAAATAATTTAAATGGATAATTATAATAATAATAATTTATTATACAATGCTGTTGACCATTGCTGCTCTTGACTGCAACTATACAGCACTTAATATGCTTCGGCAAGGACCAATGACAATGACCACTGAGGAGAGCCTCACAGAATCATGGAAGTGTAAATCATTTCATGGAAGATTTTACAATCCCCTGAAAACACCTGGCAATACAAGAACATGTAATGGCAACATCCTCTTACAGGAAGTATATTCTACATGAAGCAGTCGATGACAGATGCCATCTATGTAAAGCCACAAATGAATCAATTCAGCATGTTACCTCTGGCTGCCAGGCATTAGCTGGTAAAGAATACCTGGCAAGGCATAATAATGCGGCAAAAATCGTGCATCAGGCTCTGGCACAAAAATATAAATTAATAACAGGCCATCAGCCTTTTCATAGATATCAGCCGTAGGCTATATTAGAAAAAGGGAATGTTAAGCTATACTGGGATCCAACTATGATAACTGACCATAGTATTCCTCACAATAGACCAGATATACTGCTTCTTAACAAAGAAACAAAAAAAGCCATCATTATCGAAGTTGGAATTCCTGCTGATGATAATATAGCTAAAACAATAAGTGAAAAAATTCGGAAGTATCAAGAGCTTTGCGAGGAATTAAGGCAATTATACCGGCTGCTGGAAGTAAAAGTACTACCCATTATCGTATCCAGCAATGGTCAGATTCCTGAAAATACTCTAAAATCAATTAAGCTGGGAACTTCAGGAAATCCAAAAAGCGGTAATGCTGGGAACTGCCAGCATTGTTCGAAAAAATTTTAATATTTCATATTAAATAGTTAATAAACTGTACCCTTGACCTTGGTCCGGGTCAGTGGATTTATCCAGCATAAAGCCGAGAATTGAAAAAATAAATCGTGTAACAACCTAATACAATGATAAAATGTATTTTTCTTTGTTGAACTCCTGCTGCCTATGGCTGTTGTAGTGTTAAGATTGACATAAAATATAATATAAATATAAATTAATTTTAAGAAACAAAATTAATAATTACAGCTATTTAACCAAGAAAAATGACAAATAAACATAAGAAAAAGTTTAAGAAATTTTTTTAACAAAACATAAGTAAACAAGAATTATATTTCTCATACAACTTTTATGTTTATAAATTAAACCAAAAAATTAAAATTAAAATGAATGAACTTATAAGTAATAAAAATAAAAATGTAAAATGCGAACTTATGATCATTAAAAGTTCAAAATTAAAAAAAATTATAGAGAAAAGATGTCTAATAAGAGCAAAGTTAAACAAATATATGTGTTATCTAAAAGTACTACTACTAATCTATAACACATTAAATCTAAGAAAACTACACTGAACAATTTAATGAGTAATAATTTCCTATTTCAACAATCAATTTAATACAGCTATTAAACTAAATTCTGACAATTGTTTCAGATGAATTAGTTACAATAATTAAAGGCATCTTTCAACCGATATCGATAGCAAACTTCATAGGGGAACATTTAAATAAAACTTGAATGGGCCAATTAGAATTCATCAGAACACCCATTCATATTCATAACCCAGTAGAAATTGATTGTACCATTAAAAAAAAATCCTTTTCCACTTATCATGCATTAATAATTATTATTTTCAGTTATTCAGAAAACTATATATAATAATTACTATTCACAGTTAATTTAAAATTAACTGAAATATTCTCTTCAACAATAGTGTGATCATCCATAATTACACCTTATCGTATAGAACTGTTAAACCTAAATTTAAATTTTCTAACAGGACAAGTTATAAATCCTGTGATTTAAGATTAAATATACATCAGATAATCTGTGACAAAGTAATACCACTACTGTCAGTGCAAAACGTCGTATATAACAATTTCCTCTATTCATTCTATTTATCCTAAAGATGAAAAATTCAAATGCAATAAATAGTATACTATTATGAAAAATAGTACAGAGGATATAAAATATGAAATTATACTAATAAATCATAAAGAAAAAAAATCAGTTTTATATGCTCTTATGTAAAAAAAATTAATTTATACATACGACCTTTTGCAATAACAGTATTTTATTAAATCACCAAATAGATTCTTAACAGTAATCAAACACAACAATACACTCTGTTTCAGTAATTAAATAGCAATTATAAGAGATAGTCAATGTATGTAAATGACATAGCAATCAATTCATTAGACTTCAAACAAATAATAACAAAAGATAAAAGGAAGGAATACTAAAGTAGAATCGCAAGATAAAAGACAAAATGAAAAGGAAAAATATAACTCAATATAGTACAAAGTATTTTACACTTTAATTAAACAATATAAATTAAATTATGACCATAATACACACCTGAGGAGTAACAGATATGACTGTCAAAGACAAAATATCGCCACCTGACTTTATTAAATCAACCACCTGCTTATGAGTTGCACCCTCCACATTTACACTATTCCTAAGAATATAAATAGCAAAATGATTAAGCTGTCAAGACAAATTAAACAATATGCTGAAGACACTAAATCAATATCTCTTACACTTCTAAAATCCTATCTCCTTTTCTTATTCCTGCCTTTTCTGCTGCACCACCTTCTAAAACTGCACTTACATGCTGAAGAGGTGCATAAAGTTCCCCATTAATACTTCTTAATTGTCCTCCTTCGCTTACTTGTCCCCTTACATTAAATCCAAAACCCGTTTCGGTTTTGTAAATATTTACAACTCTAGGTCCAGAAGGCGTCGATTTAATAAAGTTGTCATTTGAGCGAGATGTAACTTTTACGCTATCTGCCATAATTGCCGTCACTTTTCAAACAAACGCATAATATACATACAAAAACTAAAAACCAGCCAAGAGGCTACAACTGACAGAACCAGACACAGAAACTAACTTCTGAGTAAATTTGAGATAACTGGCAGTGTTGCCATTTAAAATTAAGTTGAAAAAAGTATGTCATAAGCGGTTTTAAAGCCTCTAAAAATTCTTTTAGGATCCTTTTTAAAATCAAAAAAATTGATTTCTTTACATGTATTGTTAAGATAAAATAAAATATTACATTTAATTTAAGTTTTCTGGCCATTGGACAAAAAAAATATATCACGTTGAAATGTAACCCTGGGCCCACACTACAGGCAAATCGAGGCAAATTCCCGCATTTTGCCTCAGTTTGATGGGAATTTGCCCGAGTTTGCTAGCGCCACTGTCGTAGAGAACAAAGGAAAGGGCGAGAGTGGGAGAAGGTGGTGGGGATATTTTGACCAGCTGGTGGAAGGTAATGGGCTGTTTACCCCGGTTTGTTGCATATCCATCCGAAATGGAAAACTTAGGCAAAATCCAAGCAAGTTTTGCATTATGGCCGTTACGCTGCGCTAGTGATGCATTGAATAGCCACTGTGATTGGCTGAGACAGAAACTTCCGTTTCCCGCTTTTTTTTTTGCAATATCCGAAATAAAAAAAAATTAGTGCGCACAACACACAACTTTCACTTACCTTTCTTCTTTGAATAGAAATTACTTTCTGGAAATGTTGAGCAATTATAAAATTTTTGAACTGCACTTTTAACGGGTCTATAGCTTAAAGTTTACTGCTAACAAATCATTAACATCACTAAAATAACAGAAACCCTATTAATTATATCAACGGTAGATAATAAAAACCTCCCTACCCCATATTTTTTCATAAACCTCATAACTCCGGTCTCTGAGCAATATACATATGTCTAGAGAGATTTTAAAGTATATCTCTATATTCAACCTATAAATGATTATGGATTCTACGCCTATTAGTTATTAAACTGTTATTTTCCATTGTAAAGTTTACTATAAAGAGATTACGAGATTTTCATCGCCTGTCATAGATAGCTCAAAAGTTTTTACACTAATTTAACAAAGGGAAAATTCATCAAATTACTCACTAATTTATTTTTTTTTAAATGTTATACGACGACCAACGGACGTTGATACCTAATTATTTAAATATAATATCAGATTTAGAATTATTAAAACTATAGTAAATGTATTTAAGGTTATAAACATAGGCTTTATACATCCATGAAATATTTTTATATTTCACTTCTTTCACATTAGTACTATGAAATAGCTTTTTTAACAATAACATTGCGTTGATTAGGTGAATTTTAAATAGTTTTTTCAAACTTAAAAACAGTTTAAATTTAGTTAGTAAATTTCATTTATTTAATTTCCTTGAAAAAATGAGATTTCCGTTAAATAATATTAGTTTACACAAATTATTATTTATAATAATCTCTCTCCATTACTTTCTATATTTCATATTGTTTTTTTCTAAAATTATCCGCTTTCCAATGATATAACTTCTGACAAGTATTTCCGGTAATTCATTTTCATCCTCAATACACATTTTCCCTTTTTTCTCCATTTTTCAATTATCAAATTCTTTCATAAGTTATATTTAGCATTTTTTCGTAATTCTTAATAATGAGAGATGGTTAATTATTAAAAATTAATCAAATTAAAGGTACTTTAGAGGATGAAATGTTGAACATTTAGGCATTTAAGCTATGTAAAGTGACATTAATGGGAATAAGACCTCAATGATATTAAAGACCACTTAATTATACAATAATACACGAGTTTAATCAAAATTTTCTGTGCAACCAGCTTTCTGTCTTTCAGTAATAACAAACAAATCATTATAAACTACAAAAATTAAATGAAGATATTATTTGCCATTAAATGAATTATGGAAGTTTGTTAGCGGAAGGGTTCATATAAATAAAATTAAATAAGATATAATGAAATATAACATATATTTTTGAACATTTTTACATAATATATTTTAAATAACAAAACTTTTAATCCATTACTTGTTTTTCCCATTTTTCATTACTTATATATTTATTTGATTTATTACATTTCCATATATTTGCTATTTGTACTTATCATCTTTTTGAGTGTCAGGTATATATATATCATAACCTTTCGTACTTATTCATTACCTTTTATTATCATAAACTAAGTTTTTGTTAATTCATCTAATTACATTTTATTATTCATATCTAATTAATTATTCCATTTTATGTTTCTTCTTCATTTAATACTACTCTTCATTGTTTATTTCCGTTTTATAGTTGAATTGAAATACTTTATAAAACCAATTATGTCAAGTTCCACTTTTGGTAATATTATTTCAGCCAACAATTTGCCCTAACATCGCTGCCATACTCCTATCTACCTTAATAAATAAGTATAATCACTGAACTTTTCATTTTTTAGCTAGATTCTGCATTTACACAAAAAAACCATTAAGCAAAAAGTTTTTTTATGTTTTTGAAAACTCAGAGTTGAAATTTTTAATGATCCCAATACTTTGCATTACATTAAAATCAAATAATATCCATTTTCACATATTATTTAGTCAATATAAAAAAAAAAGTTCAAAATTTATTTATTTTTTAACCTATGCTTATTCTACTTTAGAGAGTTGAAAACAAGTATTCATTATTTTTTTAAAATGATCAGTTTATCAGTTTCTTTTTTAGTGCCCATATTTGTATCGGTCTGTCAACTAATTTTACATTTCACAGACATTAGTGTTAATCTACATCTGTTTTTTTTTCTTTCTATATCTTCAGTTCAAATAAAACCGAACAACTCACAAAATTACTAACCTAGACTCTAATAAAGTTGCATCAATAACATTTTAAGCACATATTGAAACACCATAATACAATACTATATTTGTAATTAAATGACTGTATCATGGTTAGAGACTAACATCATACAGTGCCAATTTTGATGCCTACTTCAATAAATAATCAACCATCCTAAGCCTAAAAAAGTTATATTTGTATAAAACATTGTCTGATTAAAATAACAATTAAGTCTAAGTGTGGAAATTTTAACCACATAGTGAGACTGCCTTTGTTTTGTTATTCGCATTTTTAATTGTAGAAATTTGACATATACCTATCATTTATTGGTTATTTATACACAAGTTGAAATATATATGTTTGAAGGGAAATGATGGAAGATGTTATTTATAATACATACAACACCATATATTTGCAAAATATAATAAATCATATACATAAACTAAATTTAATAATTATAATGTTTCTGGAAAATTAATCTTTATATCTTAACTTTGTTATTATTATACAAAATAGAAATTCTATTAATGAACAAATAAATATTTTTAGGTTCAAATATACAATACAAAATATAAATGAATTAATACAAGATACAAATTAATGAATACAAGATAGGTTTTTGTTTATACATCATGAATAAAGGAATTTAACATTACAAATAAAGCATTTTTAAATGCATCAGAAAAAGCTGAATAATAACTAATGAGTATTCTAATAATTTACTGGATTATTCTCCATCTTCTTCAAACACCTTTAAAAAGGCTTTATTAATAATATGTCTTTTTGGAGGTACAACCTTACTAGTATTTGCAGAAAAAGTGTCTGTTTTATATTTTTTAAATGGCCCAGCATGTTGCTGGAAAATCACTCTTTATGGTGCATTCGCAATACCACGGGCACAGGCTGCCATTTTGTTTAAACTAGTGCTGGTTTCAATATTACAAATATTTTTATTCCACAAAGTCCGCACACATCTTCCCCAAGCCTAGTTCCATTTCACATATGCACAAACTTTGTTCTGGTTGAGGTAATTGGTCCAACCCTTCTCCTAACATGGACCCATAATTCTGTGCAATTGTTTTGGGTTTATTTGTATTTCCGCACTGTTTTTCTATTATTTGGACGAGTTTATTGAACGGGGCCATAATTTCCTCTCCGCCTTTGTTTGATTTTTTTTTTTTTGTCTTAGGCTGCAATACATACCGTTGTTCAATAAAGATGAATCATCGAGTACTTCAGCCTGTCCTTCATGTTCACACTCAACAGTAGGGGAACGCTGAAAAAAAAAAAAATTACCAATCTTAGGCCTGGTATCATCCAACTAAAAAATCAGATTTTTTAATTTCGTTATAATTTTTTCCCTTCTATTTTTTGCGACGCTTATAACACATTTGGTTGAGATTTTCATTTTTAGAGGAGAGTCTATGTCTGGCACACTTTAAGACTCAATTTTACAGAGAACAAATAAAAGCTATGTAACATTTACATTAATAATGAAAGTCGAGAAAAAACAAAACTAATCCTTAATTGAAATAGGAAACAATGGAATCAAATTCATAACAGACGAAAATAAATAATCTGGTAAACAGATAATGTGGAGGGTTAAGGAAACAAGACAGAATGGCTAAGGCATCATAGGGCATTTTCTCTTTATAGTCATTACCCTATGTACATTGTTTTGCTATATGAAAAAGTATAAAAAAAAAAAATAACTTAATCATAGACTAGGAGGGATATCAAAAATTAACAATGAACTTCCAATTAACTAAATATAAATAACCAGTTGAATGCTAAATAATTAACACCCCTTGTCCATTGTTTCCTTTGCGATGATGTACTTAAGTTGGACGTTAGAAAAGAAAATAGAACTAAATTAACTTACTACAGACTTAATTGATTGTTTGAATTGAAAAATAATAAAGTAACACTTGCAAATTTAGTAAAAGAGGAATTAACCATTCACTAAATTGTAAAAAATGTCTATACAGTAAATCAAAGAACCTCATAAATAAATGGAGAAAAAAAATTTTAAATGCATTCCTTGAATCAAACAATTGAAAAAATATTGGCAGCTCATTGCAAAGTAATAAAGTGAAAATTCATTATTTCTTAAGTAATCAAGAACTTTGAATATCTTTTTCTTTATAAAATCAGAAAATTGTGTGCTTCTTGTAAGTATAATTGATGTATAAAAGGGTTTGTTTCATTTCCATGCCCATACAGTGTTTTTGTATAGGTAAATAAAGTCAAAATTAAAAAAAAAAATCTTGAAAGTTAACCTATATCAAATATGCACATAGTGCATGAATTGAATGCAGTAAATATAATGGAAGGAAATTGACAATCCTAGCAATTGTGTGTGAACAATTACATAAAATCGCGTTAATTAGCTTTACAGAAATATATTTTGAAAAACAAGGTAAAATGT